TTTAATTCCCAAATGCAATCTAATCTGTATCTTAATACTACTGTATACTCTAAAGATTACAAGAAACTGTTTGTGAGAAAAAGCTATGCAATTACGAACTTTTCTTTGCAGTGCATAACTTCTGTGTTGATTATGCAGGAGGTTCCTGACCCGGTGAAGTTTTTTGTTACTCGATGGAGCAACGACCCTTGGCTCCAGATGGCATACAGCTTTGTGAAAACAGGGGGCAGTGGGGAAGCTTATGACATTATAGCTGAAGATATACAAGGAAAAATTTTTTTTGCTGGTGAGGTAAGTATCTTTGCTACTGGCAATTAAGGTTATCGGGAAGCAGCTTCTTATGGTTTTGCTAACCAACACCATTAACCTACAGGTAGTATATAAATATCCTATTCTAATAGTTTTAGAAACAAATAACTTTTTTCTTTTTTTTTTTTTTAAATACAGGCCACAAATAGGCACTTTCCTCAGACAGTTACAGGAGCTTACTTGAGTGGGGTTCGAGAAGCAAGCAAAATAGCAGCATTTTAAGTACTGAAATTTTGTGTTTATAGATATATTTTTAATTGTTTTCTGTGGGTAAAACTATCTTCAAGTTTCCTATTACTGCCTTTTTCCTACGTGGTACTTGAATAGTATATGGTACCTGAAGATAAAATCTTCATCTTCTCCTCTTTCTCCTCCCACTCCATTTTTAAGCCCTGATGATACATAGTGCTGGGGGCTTTTTTCCAGCTATGCTATTACTAGCAGGAGTGACATTGGAATCCCTGACCACAGCTTAAGTAAGAGGACTTTCGTCGAGAGTCTTCTTCTGTACGGCTCAAGTCATGTTATTGTGAACCTTCATTTCAGAAGGTCAGACTGAAACAAGACTAAGTTACATACAGCATTAAAAATGCTGGCAGTTAGTTATGATGATGGGAATTTTCCACTAACTGTGCTTCTCAGGTTGATTATGCTCATAGGAGTTCATACTGGCTTCCAAGAGCCTGAATAGCCTAGAAAAATTCTAGAATTATTGTAGGAAGGAACTCAATGATCAGTTTTCCCACTTGCAATCGATAAACTTTTCTATAATATTTTTTCATATTCTTAGCTTCACTGAGTGGGCTTTGGAATATGAAGTTTGTTCCTTTAATAAATGAGCTGGAACAGTTTACAGTGCAATCATAGAAAGATTATTGTAGCTAAATAAAACTTGACAAATTAACTTTTACATTACTTTTAAAAACTTTGAAATATTCTCTGCTACTTATTCAGAGGAATTCTTGTTACAATAATAGGCTAGTAGTTTAGATTTGCTCATTGCTTCTGGTCATGTAGAAACAGGACAGCTTAAAAATATTGTATTTCTATGATTATTTTGAAAACAAACTTCCAAATTCATTTGGGCTGAGTAGAGGAAGGATCTACTGATTTGAGTGTACAGTGGGGGGTGAAGGACTAAACTCATTCAGCTTTTATATTAAAAAATAAGTGAAGATGAATGAGGAAAAATATTAACACTTTTATGAAGGGCTGAAAGATGGTGGCTTGCACTTTGACTTGAAGTTTTTTTTTCTTATATTATTAGAATATTATTAAAAAACCATGAGGGACTAATTCAGTAAAGGCTAAACATCTATCTAGTAGCTTTTCCATGGGACAGGGAAGAAAATATTTTTTAACAGAAATAAGACAGATACAATTAGGATCTCTGTTGTAATACTGCTCCAGTAAAACAGTATTAATGAAAAAAAATTAAAATCTACGTTTAGATCTCTTCCCTCATACTTTCCCTATAACTTCTGTTATACAGACCTCATGATTTCTGAAATGAACATAAGCACTTATACTATTCACCCCCATTCTCCTGCATAGGCTTTTGTGTTTTTCTAATCTCTTCATTTAGAAATGACACAGCAATTTATTTTTTTCTTTTGAGTTCCAGTGCTTATTTCCATAAAGCTGTATCCTTAGAAAAAAACAGGCAACCTTAACAAAAATCATAGAATCCTAGAATGTTAAAGGAGTTGGAATGGACCTTAAAGATCATCTAGTCCCAACCCACCCTGCCATGGGCAAGGACACTTCTGACACAACCAGGTTGCTCAAGGCCTTACCCAACCTGGCTTTGATCACCACCAGGGTCCTACTGAATAAATGCAATTCTTCTTTTCAAATGCGTAATGTTTTGGTTTTAGAGTAGCTATGATATTGTTAAAACCCCTTTATTTAATCTGTAATTTACAAGGTGAAGATGTTTATATAACTAGATGTTTTTCAGATATATATTCTGTTCTGCTTCTTAAAGCTGGGTTATATGAATTAATAGGAAGAGTGGATTTTTTCATAATTTCCCTCTACATAAATGCTAGTATGTACAGTTTTAAAGCATTTCCAAGTATTAAATTGTAATTTAAAGGCTATAAGAAACAAGACAAAGCCCTCTGATGATAAAAGATAATCAGACATCAAATTTTTCCTTTGGTACTCATTTGCACTTTGTTAATTTCATATATTACAGGCCACCTTATGGCATAACTAGGAAAGACTGAGAGCTATGTACGTTTTGAGTTCCAAGTTTCTTTCCCTCTTTACCATATATGACAAATTATTAGCAGAGGAGCTTCTGGTGGTGGGAATAAAACTTATTACTACAAGCCCAAAACATTATATTCCATGGCTGCTTCAGCTGACCTTGTTCAAAACTTCAGTCAGCTTATTAACATATAAACATGTCACATTTCAGGTAGGAATGGTCTGGAAAGTTTAGCTCAGCATCCTTTTCCACAGTCCAAAGTTTGTGTGAACGTGCTTAATGTCATCCTTTTAATTCGTATTTGGGGTTTTCAATCTACCTGCAACTTTGCAGGTAGATAAATGTTATATCCTAGAGAAGAGGGATGGACATGGACATGAACATGAACAAATACCATCATATTTGGCTTTAGATGATGCATACTTACAGCATTACAAAAACAGATAACAAATGATAAATTTAATCAATCGTCTAGTCTATTAATTATTTGGATGTTATTTTGGTGCCAGGGCACTTAAACTGTGTTGTGCCACACTTAATTTTGAGGAGTAAATAAAATAAGTATGTTCCATTTTAATTTACATTCACTTGAAATATATAAGAACATCAGGCTGGTTCTGAGACTTCATTCTTTAATGTTGCCCAAAATTTTTTTCATATCTATGTTAAAATTTATTTCAAGCATGTATGTGTTTTGTGTTTAATTTATTCCCTCAAATAAAGAACCGGGGAATGTTTTCTTTGAGTAGATTTGTTTAAATGTTATTAAAAAAAAAGATTTGAATGCAGAGCATGATCTGTTACAATTCTTCTGTGTGACTATGTTATGGCAGCAGAATAAAACTGGAAAGTATTCACAGGATGCCCCTGTTTTGGTTGTTTGTTTTTTTTTTCCTTTAATGAATGGCTAAGCCTCCTTTTTGTTACATTTGATACTGACTTAAAATTTCATTTTAGTATATTCCTACAGCTAGACAATTCCTCAGAAATGCTGCTTTACAGCCTTCCCTGAACTCTAAGTACTAAGTCTGCCGTTCTTTGGACAATACTGCTTTCAGTGTCTTTCGCCTCAAAGTTTTATGAAGCAATTCCTAAGCTTGTATTAGATTATTTTCCTTAGCCAGAGGAAATTTAAGCTAAAGTGATAATTATTAAGAAGCACTGCCCAGAATTTAAAAATATCACCAGGGAACCATTTAATGCTTTTCACAGAATAAGTGTAGTGTGAACACTTTGTAGGATTGAGGTCCTGAAAGGTTCCTACTAGCACAGATCACTATAAACGTATTGAGTGTGAAGTCAGGGGTAAAGTAGAAACAATGACAAATTCTGATAACACTTACTTGAATGCTACATTATTCTTCTTGAATGGGAGGTTAGGTGTTTATTTAGTCTAAGTCTGACCACAGGGACCTTGAAAAAAAGTATTCCTACTGCTTTGAAAGTTTATTTCACCCACACGTAGGTCTGAACTACTGAAAGCATTACTGTGGAGAAGATTCACTGCTTTCCCCTACCCGTGTCATACTTGGTGAACAGTTAAAAAATTTTGTATCTGAAGATGTGCTTTTTTCTTGAAATGCTAACTCATTACACCCGATACTGGTTTTGGAAAATGCTAGCTTCATTCTAAGAATAACAATCTTTAAAATAGAAACAAAATACTGATGATGCTTTTTAAAATAATTTACAAATCAGATGTCATTACACTCCTCAAAGAATGACAATCCTTCAAGAAAACTGTGTGAGGGAATATTTTTTTCCTTTTAGCCCATCTGTCTAAAACTTAGTTCAGAGGTAAAAGTGGAATAGTGAATCTATACTAGCTGCAGTCCAGAACAAGGTCAGGTAAAAAGGCAGGGCATGTTACATAATACTGCCATCCTCTTATCCCCAGAACCTTTGGAGATCATCTGGTACCAAAGCTGCTTCTTGGAACAGGGCCAACGCAGAGCTGGTTGCTCAGGATTGAGGTTTGAATATCTCCAACAATGGGGATTCCACAGCTCCTCCAGGTCCCA